AAATTGCCATGGCAAAATAAACAAGTACACGTCATTCTTTACCTTGTTTGATCGACTTCTATATTTTCAAAAGTTATTTCTTCTTCACTCCTATTGCCATCATCAGACTCACTGAACTGATCACTGTTGTCCCAGCTATCTGCAGTCTCGGAGTCACTAGCATCAGAAGCATGATCACCAGACCTGAAATGACAAATTCACCATTATTAGCATCTATCCATCATGTAATGTTTCATGTAATGTGTCTTTCCATCTTTGTTGTTGTTTTTAATCAAATGTAGCTTCTTTGTTGTTCTTAAACTCTGGGACCAATGTAACTGGCTTATTTGTGTTGTGGAATCTTTGCCTAATAATGAATGCTTACTTATTCAGCTTTGTTTTGCTCGCTGTGTGTCATGTAATAGGTGAAGCTAATAAAATAAAATATTGCTCATGCAATATACAGTACAACAGAACTTTCTGTGATAAAAATTTGTAATAGTAACAGGATGTGAAAATGCTGATCCAAGTAACGTTGTTTTTTCTGCATAAAATTCCATTCTGTGCGGTAAAATAAGGCCACTACAGTGCAAAATTCCAAAACCCAAAGAGGGTCTTAGGATCACAAATATATTCAGATTTAAAACAGTTTTGCCCATCCCTAAAATCATTATATCTGATTACCCACCCCCTTTTCAGGATACAGTCATTGGTATGGTCTATCTTAAACAATTATAATGGTAGCAAGGGCGAAAGCAGATGCTAAGCAGCTTAACTATGAACTGATATAAGAGTGGGAGTATTTATCTCAGCAAAAAAAAATTGTCTCGAGAAATGCAAAGAGAAATAGACACACTTACTCCACTTCACTCATAGTCTCTGCCTCTGAATGAGGATTGCCCTCTAGAGAGGAAAACAGGGGATTCCAATTAGAAAGCTCATCCAAAAGAGTCCTGTGCCCAGTCAGTTGGTCGTTCTCTAGCTCATCAACTTCAATCCTAAATACAAGAAAACATGAACGAAGCAATGAAGAAACTCATTATTGTTGTATGATATTAGTACAAGGTTTCCAAGCCTATCCTTTTAACACAACATACCGATTGTAGACTCTACGCTAAATTAAAAGTACTCACTTGCTCAAACTTGAGTTTTCTGCAGCACCAGCAAAGGCTAAAGGGGAAACTGTGATATTCTCAGTCCTGATTTCTTTACCCATCGGGGTCGACTGGAGGAATAGCTGTCTTCTTCCTACCAAAAAATAGGAAAGAATGCGCAATGTATACAAAAAAAATAGCGAAATACTAAAACTGCTATAATGGCATAATAAAAAAAGAGAGTTTTTTAAAAAAATTATTCAATATTTTACCTTGATGCACTTGAGGTGAAGTATCATCTGGATGAGCGTGAGGAGATCGATCACGCTCTCGTATAGGTTGCTGGTGAAGAAGCATCTCCGCAAAATCATTGTTCGTAATTCCGTGTAGCCCAAGGGCCTCCTTCCGTTCAATCCACAGATTGTATGTAGATTCCCTGAGTTTTAGGCGTTTGATGCCTTCTGGTCTTCTTGGACGGCCCCTAGCAGGACGGCTATCCGCCATATTGGCCGACGTTTCAACGAAACGCGACAGAAAACAAAGTACACAGTGCCCTTGGAAAGAATTTTCTTCCACGAATGTGAATCACAAAGATAGTTCCGAAACTATAGAAGTAATTCCAGAGGAAACAGGACCTTAATAACGCCTATAAATTATCGAAAGAAAGGATGGAATATCAAGGTTATAAAACTAGGATTTTCGGGGGCCCTGAAAATGGCGAATGAAGAGCGTGAGTAGAGCGTGAGCGCGCAATGCAAACTGGGTGGGTGAGATTCTTTAACATTATGGTTAGTGCCCAGTTTTTCGCAACGTTAATCTAGAAACGCCTGGTAGTTTTGGGACGTTGTTTACTCATTGCAGTGACGAAGTTTCAAGCTAAATTTGGACGTTTGGGGTGAATAAAACCGGTCTAATAGCCAAGATAAGTATTAAATATGTTTTGCCGACATGTATTTGGCAATATTTCTGGCGGATTTCGCGGTATTTCGCGTTTTTTTGGAAATTTCGCGGGATTTCGCGGAAATACCTGAATTTCGCGGGTCCGCGACCGCGCGAAATATCAGAAGCCCTGCATAGACGATTACGATTCAACACTTGCACAGATTTAAGCTTAATTAATGCCGACTGATATCAAACCCCAAAATAGCCTGAGTCAATATTATACAGTAGGCTATGCTGCTAGCTATACGTTCTAGTGTGTTGAATTATCCTGTAGATACAGGCGATTCAACACTTTAGTCTACCGTAGCTAAAGGGCAGATAACTTTCAACTCTTCAGGAGTACACTAAATGTCCTATACTAGCTAAAAGCCCTGAAATCAAAAGCGTGAAATTCGTGACCACACTGTACGTGCGAGTTCGCCAGTGTTGGCGATTTCAGTTTTTCCTTTTAAAAAAAAAGTCGTTTAGTTTTCGAGTTAAGCATCAGATAACTGCAGGAATACCTGGCTGTTGCTGGACAGGATGTTGATACTGAGCCATTGAGTTAACGTTGAGCGTGTTCGTGTTGTCGCGCCGAAACCTTCACAAACCTCGTCCCCAGTCCTTCTATCCTTCCACGCAGACGTTCTTTGGGGTTCGTCACGCTTTCCTCCCCCACGAACGTCCCCTGTGATCACAATCGGCGCTGCTGAAGTCAAAGTGTTGACAACCAAACACATACGTACAAGCTCTGTAGAGTGTGATAGGTGACCAAAGATTTTTGCTCCGGACAAGTATCTAGGAGAGAAGCTTTGGGTTTTTGTCATATTTCTCTCTGTGAAGGCGTTTCGACTAGTTGTAGGCCTAGCTGACTTTCATTTCCACATATCCTGAAAATTGCACGCATGACAAGTTCGTGCTGACCTCACCAACACTTTGAGAGTGGTCAACCCATAAATTTGTACGCCCGGGCCTACAGGTCTATGGGCTGGCTACGCCCCTGGCTTATATCAAATACAATGTTTTTCATAGTTACTGAAAAGTCACAAAGCAACATCGGTATTCTAACTTTCACCTGTTCGCGTCTTAGTGAACGGTGATACTCAGTGTGGTTTACGGTCATCTCGCCACCAACGAAATCGCCACCAATAATTCTACCCGCCAGCACCGTAATAACTCCGCAATTATTGACACTGTTTACTTACCTGGGATTGTTACTTCTTCCTAAAGCCCAAATATAAGTTTATCGACACTTTGTGTCGAACTTCTCATCTTTAATTTTATTTTTTGTAAATAATTGCGACTTTTTAATACCTTAAAGGCTTATTTTCATCGCTAGAGAGGTGCGATTTGTTTAAAATGCAAAAGCCTTTCTTATGAAAGTTGGTTATCATTGTCATTTGAACCTTACCTTCTTAAATTTCATTGTAAATTTGAAGTGCAGGAAATAATTCTTTTTAGACAATTGTCCTTTCCATAAGTATAGGCCCTTTGCACCTAGCCATTCACGTAGTACAAAACCACCACGCTGGAGAGCAAAAGTCGCACTGGGAGGAGACAAACAAAGGAAATTAGCTGAAATTACCCTTTAAAACTATGTATGCCTTTTGTTTGTCTTGTCCCAGTACGACTTTAGTTGCTCTCCAGCATGACGGTTTTGTACCACGTGAATGGCTAGCCGCAAATGGCCTATTGAGATACCGTAGTTTCTGTTTGGTGGCGACAAAAACAAAGGAGGTAATACAATATTACAACTAAATAAAGAAAACAGTAAAACAAAAAGAAACTATGACACTATGCATGCATGTAACACATACACGTGTAAAATTTTTGTTTTTCTAAACTGATTTCAGATAAAAAGGGGATTCCGGTTTCGGTCCCCTCGCCACCTCGAAATCTACCAGTGTTTTTAACTGAATTAAAAATTATCTATTCCGTTATCTGATTATAATGATTTTATTGATAAAATGCGAATTATTTATTTATGTTTTTTTTAATGAGGCAAACCGCATATTCTCCATTTGCACATCTTCCCTAATACCCCTAGCCTGCGAACAGCAGACGCATTTCCAGTCGTCGCTTCCCTCCCTCCCAAAAGCCGAGAGAAGCGACGACCGGAAATGCGTCTGCTGTTCGCAGGCTATAATACCCCTTGTTTGCTGCCCAAAGTTTTTCTTAAGCATGTGTTTATTTACTTGGGACCACTGAAATATCAAGAGAATTTAAAAACAAAGGTTGCGCAAAATTTATTTTTTTGGGCGCAGGGGGGGGAAATAGCTCGATGTTAACGAAAATACGAAAATTATTGAAAAACGGTATCTCTTATGGCGGAGCCCAAAAATTGTGACCGCTTTTGATTTATTCACATTCTTTCGTACAGATTTAATCCAATCAGAAACCAGCTGAAGACTGTCCTCGGCTTCTGATTGGCTAATGTCTACATGAAAGAATGTGAATTAATTAAAGGAGGTCACACTTTTGGAGTCCTTGCTGTAAAAGGTGATACAAATCATACGTCAGGAGATGAAAACTTAATTTCGTCCTGTAAGAAGTTGTAAATAGTCTAGCTCGTTGGTTATCATTTTTTCACAAAGAGTCCTCAGAGGGGTGTCCAGTTTTACCTTCAGGGCGTAGCCACGAACTGGTCTCGCTTGCTTGGTGTAGGCTTTTGTATTATACTCCCCGGGAACTAAACAGGATTCTCTCAAAATTTCATTGTAATATCTTAGACGCTCTACGTCAGCCTTAAACGCGGATCCTAACTTTTTTATTTGATTCCAGAACGTTTTGTTGAAATAATCATAAAGCAGCACATCGGCTCGGTTCCACAAACGAATTTTTTCAACGAGTTCGTTAGAAAATTTGCCTCCTTTGTCTGCGGATTTTCGCTGGTTAAGCTTAAAATACACAACATCTCGTACATCCCAGCATGCTTCGTTGGCAAGTAAGACGAGAGATTCATCGAAATATTCCATCAAAAGTACTAGGTTAACATTTCGGGCAATCTCATCTATGGCCATGTTTACGTATATATACCTTCTCTTCGTCATGAAAATGAATACTGTCCAATCCTAAGTCAAAAAACTGCCCATTTTTCAACAAATTAAGATAAGGAAAGACATTTTCTGCTAGTAAACTCTTTGCAAATTTTGCCATGATACCGTTAGGATCAGTTATAAAAGCTTCGATGGAATCTCTTCCTGTTTCGATTCCGAAAAGGTGTGCAAACCCCATGTAGGAAAAAGTGGATTCCAACTGCGTGACAGGATTTCGAAGTATTGTGATAAAAACTGAGTCCAGGGCCATCAACTCCTTCATTGGATTCTTGTTCCATCTGGCATGGTGGCACAAGATGTTAGGTTGCTTTCCCTTCGTGTCTTTTATAAATGATTTCTCGAATGGTAAGGGCCAGTAGAAATTATAAAAACCATCTTGCGGTAACGCGAAGGTTAAGCTGTGTATGTCCCCATAGCGGTTTAGTATGTTGGTCAAGGTACTGCTTCCAATTTTGTGCGTTTTTAGAAAAAGTACGTTGTGCTTGGGTTGACAGTTTCTGGAAGTTGTTCTGCGAACAAAGAAAACAGATTGCGCATGAAAAAAATACTATGATGTACTAGGTTCCTTATACGTGGAATAGATTGCAATCGACTTTTATAAGGCATATAGTGCTCTTTAAAACGGGACTCCTGTCATGGGGAGTAAAAGGTTTAGTCCTATCTATTATGATAAATTGAGGATAACTAATATAAGTTTATTGATAGGTCAATGGTGGTGAGAGGGGCGGTAGTGACCTTCAGATACCACTGCAGCCTAGTCCTTAGACGTCCTCGTGATTTCCCAATTCGCTATTTTCATATAGACCATACTGTATCGTGTTTACCCCCCAAATTTTGCATAATCATTGTTTCCAATTTCTCTTGGGTATAACAGTCGTCCCAAGAGAAATAAAAAACAAAGGTTATGCAATTCTTTTCTTGGAGGGGGGAGGGGGGAGTAAACAAGGAGGATTATGAAAATGGTAAATTCTCCTTGGGCTCGGTTCAAAGCCTCCTCCGCTCACTGGCACTGCCCGAACTGGCCAGGGGACGAGGCTGATAATGACTAACATCCAGACCCAAACGAATTTAAAAATAGTTAGTGTCGAAAGCTTTAGTACTCATTCTTCCTTAGTAGTGAGCCGGATGTTTAAACAGAAAAAGTACCTTGAAAATAAATCATACCAGCTCCTCTTACTCTCGAACAAACTGCTTCCTCATCAACCTCAAATTTTGCTCAGGTTTGCGCCTACAAAAATTAGTCAACAAACCTGAATTTTTCCTCTTCATCATCGTTCGTCATGACTACTTCTTCGTTTATATCTAGAGTGAAGATTTTCCATAAAATGCTCGCGTAAAAGTAAAAGTAAAATAGCCATTCGGACAGTAAATCGCCTGTTAAAAATGTGTAGGACGGGAGGAGTCTTAAGCCCTGTTATAGTAACTGCCATCGTTGATTTTTGTTATACGTTAGGTGACCGTGTACTGTCGCAATTTGTAATAATCATCGCACTTTGTAATACCTGTCGCAATTTGTAATAAACCCATCGCACTTTGTAATACTTGTCGCAATTTGTAATAAACCATGTCGCATTTTGTAATAAAAAAGGTGTCGCAATTTGTAATAACAGTCCATCGCACTTTGTAATAAACTAAGCTGTCGCAATTTGTAATAATTCCATCGCACTTTGTAATAATTTTTTGAGAGTGATTCAACTTACTTTGTCAACATTAATATAATGCCAAAATATGCATGGTACTTCATAAACAAAGATGATGACGTCTGCTAGCATGTAACATGTCCGTAACATTTTCTTTGGTCAAACATGCATGTCTTCCGCTATAAATTTTTCTGCCTTGATTAATCACATGACTAACTAGAAACGCTTTTATGAAAGACATGAAACTTCCTGTGACATATCACCAAAAAGATATGAATCACGTTTAAATTAAAAAATATTTAGATAAGAAAGGCAACATTTAACAACAGAAAATTCATGAAGAACCTGGCATTCGTCGTCCAAATCCATGTTTGCTTCCGGCGGGGGGGGGGGGGGGGGATAATTCCATATATGGATGGGCTATAGATAGGTAAGTACCGCCTGATAGGGTATCAGTTTTTACGTTGTTGGCCTTGTGTCTTTGGTTTGATCCTTAGATAGGGTAACTCAAGTAGTAATGGATGGTTTATTCCATCCTTTCCATTTTGTAGAAAAACAGTAATCCAGAACACGCTCGGAAGAATTGCAAGGTCTTATGAGTTGTATATACGCGGGGAAGGATAATTTTTTACCATCCCATGGTATTTGCTTTAGAGGACTCCTTACAGAAAACAATTGTTTTAAGATGGAATGAGTACTCCTTTTGTTCCTATATGGGACCAAATCAAGTGAGAATAATGGACCAAATGCCCAGCCGGGTCAGTGTAAGACCTCAAGTGAGTGTTATAAAAACAGGTACATACGAAGGTATTGGCAAGCGACTAATTGGATTTTGTGTTTAAGTTTCTGTTGTGGTTCGAAGGTTTGCCACTGGTGACGTTTTTTTTATTTGCAGTAAACATTTTGAATCTTTCCAGGCCTCGTTTGATTACGTTGGCAAAAATATGGAAGCCACTATTACTTCTTTAAGATTGCTCGTTAGACAAGAACGGTGTACCACATGTTGTGTCAACCTGTTATAAGATCTAACAAGGGGAGCTTCAACTCTCATGGTGTCCTTATTCGAATGATGTAGGATGGATGTTACGATTAGCGGAAATTAATTAATGGCTTGTTTGTGTATCGTGTGTCTAGCTCTGTCTAGATCCTCTACTCTGGCAATGCTCTGTCCAGAGGCACATCCCCGTATTGGCCATATAAGGAAGTATACCCGCCGGGTAACCATTGAATGCAAGCCACCTAGTACGGCATAGTATAAAAGCTGGACTGGACTCTGGACTCTGGACTCCAGATTTTTTGACAAGATTTTTAAATGAAAAAAAAGAGAGAAAATTCAATTGTTTTTAAAAAAGGAAAATAAAATGAAAATAAAAAATGTTAAAACTTTCAAAAAATAGCGAGCGCCGAAGTACTCTTTAATGTATTTTCTTGTATTAAATCTCGCTATATTTATGCGAAGGAGAAAAAGTTTATTTTGGGCGAGACGAGGAGTGTGCGACGAATTCTTCTATTCATGCCGTCAAACGAACGGCAAAGCATTATTCATCGCGCGTAAATACCATGTGTGCCATTGTTAATCGAAAGGAACTAGAATGAATTTAAAATTCGTCTGTCAATTCAAAAGTTCTGTTACGAAAACTGAACAGCGCGAACTGTGTCGAACTGTGTCAAGCGTCTGGCAAATAATAATGGAAATCCGACTGTCTGCGGCATTTAACATTATACCATCTCGCGAGGCAGTCTAACTTGGCTTCGCCAGAATTTCCGGTCCCTCGTTTTTTATTTAACTCGCTAGGTGTTTTCTCTGAATTTCTGGAATTTACCGGCTTTATCTAGAACCTGGCGTACACAACCTTTCAATTATAACTCCTGTGTAACTAAATTCAAAACTAAACTCCAGAAAGTGACACGAACAATAATGAAACCCAAAGTGCCTTGCATAATGTTATCTTTTTATCGGGCGGCATGTCATCTAATTATCGCGCGGTCTCAGTCCTTCCGCACTACACTCTTGCCGGGCACACTTGTTCACTTTGTAGTCGGCACTGCTCAAAGCGTGTCTTGACTTTCGTTTCTCCTCTGAGTTATGGATTCTTCTCCTGAACCGGGCACCAGTAGTTTTTTTTGTCAGTATGAGGAAGAGGAAGAGGCCATGCGAAAGGCACTGGAGGAGTCTTTGCTTGATTCTCGCCAGGTAATTGAGTTTACTGTTACATGTTTTACGCTAATAAAGGAACCAAAGAAATGAAAATAAAGTAACCCTGACGGTCTCGAATTTATTACCCATGGGTTCGATGTTGATATATAGGCTACCGACGGAAATGTATGTTAAGAAATAATAAAACCTGGAAAACGGTCGTGAAAAATTGGTACACACGGAAAAGGCGAGTGCTATTTGAGAACTTTCAAAACATCTCTTGTACCCGTTTTTTTAAGAATATAATACGCGAAGGTCGCGCACACTCGACAAAATTAATCATGTATTTTCGAACTGCAAATCATGACCATTCGGAACGGTTCGCTTTTAATGGGGCGGTACACTTAAGGTTTGCGTCCATCCCCCCCCCCCCCCGCTGACTAACCCTGGGGATAAGCATTTTTTATTATTATTTTCATTTTTTCCCTTTTTTTAAAAAACAATTGAATTTTCTCTTTTTTTTTCATTGAAAAATCTTGAGAAAAAATCTGGAGTCCAGAGTCCAGAGTCCAGTCCTGATTTTATACTATGCCACCTAGTCCAATAGCAAGGTTCAAGAATACAGCATTTCGTAAGTCAGATGACTAATCAACATTAATCTAAAAAAATGTTTAGGACTGTGAATAAAGTTAAATGTTTGAATGAGCGGAGATGTTACGTGCTAGCAGACGTCATCTCCATCTTTGTTTATGAAGTACCATACATATTTTAACGCTATACTAATGTTGACGAAGTAAGTTTAATTACTCTCAAAAAGTTATTACAAAGTGCGATGGAATTATTACAAATTGCGACAGCTTAGTTTATTACAAAGTGCGATGGACAGTTGTTACAAATTGCGACAGCTTTTTTATTACAAAGTGCGAGACGGTTTATTACAAATTGCGACAGGTATTACAAAGTGCGATGGATTTATTACAAATCGCGACAGGTATTACAAAGTGCGATGATTATTACAAATTGCGACAGTACAGACCGCAGCAATGATGATTTTCAACTTTAAGATACTTTTGACGTGGGTAACCAAATATCGAAATACAGATTCTCCCAACTGATCTCCAATAATTCCTGTAACAATGAAACGAGAGAACAAAGCTATTTTCCATGTGGTAATTATTTTATTCTGATTATGTTCTTACAACACGGCTTTTCCTTCTTGACTGAGTGTTGAAAAAGCGAGAAGAAACTTGCTGTTAGTCACTTTTGGGAGAATAAAGGAATATCTGGTATTGTTTTGTTTTACAACCAAACGCGCTTATTAGAACACCGGGGGGGCACTCCCTTATTTGGCCTAGACGGGTAAGTGCTGCTGAAAAGCCATAGTTTTTAGACTCATGAGTCTTAAACAGGGTATTCAACTTCGCGTCTTGAACAGGGTGTATTTTTTTACCGGAAGCTTTAAAAGAGTGTGAGGTTCGACGATTCGCGGTATACAGGAGTAGTCAGCAACACTGTATTTTCCAAAAAAATCTTAGTCATGATGTTAGTTTAAAAAGCCTAACTTAATATATAATATATAATGTACCAGTTTGACACCCGCGATTTTTACATGGTGCTACCTGTCATAGAAATGTTTGCTGACTGGTGTTAACCTATCAAGAGTGGTATAAAGGCCGGCAAAGTTAATTCAGGGGAAAAGAGTGTGAAAACACGTATTTCCAGTTTGGAAACAGGTTTTGCCTCCAAAAC